AGATGCTCTCCGTGTTCCTTGCTGAGTGACACACCCCTGCACGAGCTCTTCCTTAAGGGGAAGGCATTCTGTTCCACTCGGTTTTTCTGCATGTTTCTCTTCTGGCTGTTCTCTCTCTTTAAAGCTCTCTGTTGAGCTTTGCACATCCATTGTTAAAATTCCATTCTTCAGAAAGGTTAAGCGAATAAATGGTGAGAGGAACATGTCATTATTATTGACGATAGCTGTGTTCAGGTCATTTGTTGGTAAACAGGTGTGGTTTTTGGTAAACAGGCATGTTTTTCTATCACTGAATGCTTGTAAGATGAATATGTGGAAACCAGTGCCACTTGGAAAATTAGATAGCCCCCCCATCCCCCCCACACACACATACACACTGGGTTTGAGGACAGACTGTAGTGGAACACAGTAAAAAATTACAGATCCAAACAAGAGGTTTACAGTGATAATAACATTCACATTTTATGCAAAATTTAGTCTAAAGTGAAATTGTTCTGAATCATGACAACCTTGAATTTATCTACTCCTTATCCAAAATTTGCTAGGTGAGCCCTGCCCCTAGCAAGAATTGTAAGAATTCTGACATATTTTATACATTTCATCTTTCGTAATGTTTGTTTTTAAAATTTAAAACAATTTATTAGATATTTCTTTATTTGGTGCAGAAAAGCATGAATAAAAATATAAATATCACCTATAATCCCATTGTCAAAATAACTGTATTTGTACAATAAAAAATGTATGTAGCCCTGGCTGGTTTGTCTCAGCGGTTAAAGCGTTGGCCTGAGGACCAGAGAGCCCCAGGTTCAGTTCCCGCTAAGGGAACTGCAACATACCTGGGTTGCAGTTTGTCCCTGGCCCCGCTTGGGGTTGTGTGAGTGGCAATCACTCGATGTGTCTCTCTCACATCGATGTTTCTCTCTCTCACATCCTCCTTCTCTCCCTCCCGCTCTAGCTGAAGATGAACGCAAAAATGTCCACAGGTGAGGGTAAAAAAAAAAATGTATGTAACTTTAAAAGGACACCGAGACAGATCCAAAACACACAGTAAACCCTTAAAACTGCCTCTCTTTTGTGCTTTGAAAGTGGCCAGTTAAAACCTTTCATGTTCCTTTAGAAAAATAAAAGATATTTTATGAACTTAGCCATTGCCGGAGCCATGCACACATTTTAAAAGTTCACACAAAAGAGGTCATATTATGTACTCTATTCTGACCTTTGGTTATTAATTTTTTTCCACTTAATATTATCCTGGGAAGGTCTTTTTACATTCACATCTGCACTCCAGCCTCCTTCCTGTTGAGGGCGACATGGTGTTCCACTGCAGGTGTTTAGCCAGTCATTTCTTGATGTATATTTGGGTTGTTCTCAGGATTTTGCAATTACAGATCTTTATTTAGATTTCTTGACATACTTTTGATATTCTTAAAGTGAATTCCTCCAGGTGGAATTCTTGAACCCACTTTCATTTTCTATGCATTTGGCTGTTGCTTTCACATCTATATTATTCAGCCTCAGATTTGGCAGCACCAGCTTAGAGTGATACTTGCCACACGGAAGGCAGCTTTCTTCTTTGAGGGTTCCCTGGGACATTGTCATTTTCTGACTTGAATATGGAAGTCCGATAACAAGCTCAAGGCGCATGTCGCCGTGTGTCGGCTCTCAGTTTAGAGTAAGTTGAGTACTATGAGAGGTAGGTGGTGCTGGAACAGTTCAGGGGCTTTTCATTCATTCAGCAGTGCTTACGGAGTGTCTTGTAGATGTCAGGCACCAGGAGACCCAAGTTAAAAAGATGTGCTTACCTTCCAGGGAGGCATGCTGTACGCAAGGCAGCCCAATGAGGGCATCAGAAAATGGGTGAAAAATGGCTTAAACCAAGACCTGCAGGAGATCGGACATGTGCCAGGCAGACTATATGATGAAGGCTGTGGGGTGGGAGGAAGGGAATTCTAGGCAAATGCCACTGCACATGCAAAGGCTTGGGGGCATGGAAAACTGAGCCTGGGATTGGTGCCGAGGAGAACCCAAACCATGGAGACGTTGTGTGGTCACGTTGGAGTGATCAACGTAGATCAAATTCCAGTCCTGAAATATACTTCCTCATCATGGTGCTTAGTCATAAACGAGATTATTGAAACTATGCCTAACACACTTTATCCAATCAATTGCACTCTTGTTAGTGGTAATGCATAGCCACCTTTTAGAAATACATCTTTGGAGGACTAGAATTCTGAAATTCTTCCATAAAGCCGCATACACTTTCCCCTTGCCTGTCAGTAGTATTAATATGGAGAAAGATGTTTTAGAGAAATGGATTTTCAAGTAACTGAAGTTTACTCTCTTGGTTCCGAACTTTTAAACAATTATGTTGCTGCTGATGGAATTTTTTCACATGTTTGAACATGGGTAATATCCTCTTCCTTCTGGATGATCAGGACTAATTAATTACTCCATATTGTACCATCTGCCTATGGGTTTGTGTGTACTTCTTGGTGCCTCAGTCTCTTCCCTCGGCCGTTTGTCAGCTTCTATTTCTTCTGCCTACTGCCCCTCCCCTGTTCATACTCATTTACTTGGTTATAAAACTGTATTTCCTAATGAGAATTTTGTTAATGTAAACATCACGTTTGCTTACTTATTTTTCAATGTGAATTAAAAGCATGTAATTTCATTATAAATAAAACTTTGTTTAAAAAAATTCTAGCTGTACAGAAACAGAGAGTAAAAAATGAAAATAGTTCTTCCGAAGTGTTTCTTCCTCACCTACTCTGTATTAATCAGGGGTCTCCAGAGAAATAGAAGCGACAGATGCACAGATTTAGTTTAAGGAATTGGTTTATACAATTGTCGAGGCTTGGCAAGTTCCGAATCTGCAGGGGGGGCTGGCAGACTGGAGCCTCAGGGAAGAGTTGTAGCTCAAGTCCAAAGGCAGAATTCCTTCTTACTCTATTCTGTTCAGGTCTTTAACTGATTGGATAAGGCTCATCCATATCATGGAGAAAGATCTGCTTTACTGAACATCTACTGATTTAAATGTTAACCTCATCTCAAAAGTACCTTCACAAAAGGTTTGACCAACTATCTGGGTGCACTTAAAATTATGACACATAAAATTAACCAGCACATGCCCTCTGTTCCCATTCCTTCTACAGAGGACATTACTCTCCTAATGTGTGTGTGTGTGTGTGTGTGTGTGTGTGTGTTGACAACTTTAACCCACTTAGATGATGATCACTTTTGTTCCTCCCCACCTTTAATCTGTTAATATAATAAATGATGATGTCGTTAGAATCTTGGTGTTATACCATCCTTCCTGCAAGGAATGGGGTTTTGGCTTGTTTATTTTTGTTTTTTGATGTACAAATACAAATTTTAAGTAGACTTATCTCAACTTAGTTTTTTTGTTGTTGCTCCGACTTTTCTTATCTGCCCTTGAGATAACTCTTTTCTTACTTTTTTTCTGGGAGACCATGGTCAAGGGGTTGCCAAAGATTGTACCTCCCCTCCCACCTTGAAAGTTGGGCTTGTGTGTGTGTTTTTACCCAAGTATTTAATTAATTAATTAATTTTTTAATCTTTATTGTTGAAAAGTAGGCCCTGTGTTCTGAGGGCCTAGAATTTCTAGTGATCTCCCAATAGGGGCTTCCATTTGTAGGTAGCTTACTTATATTTTCTTGATAATACTATTTTCTTTTGTGAATGCTTGGCTTATAATTTAAGAAACAAACTGTTTGTGGCTTCGGCAAGGGAGCCCTCTGCCAGGGGGCTTCTGTGGTGCAGCAGGTAGACAGTATCTGCCCTTGAGATAACTCTTTTCTTACTTTTTTTCTGGGAGACCATGGTCAAGGGGTTGCCAAAGATTGTACCTCCCCTCCCACCTTCCTGTTGGGGGCACCGAGATGCTCCAGCTAAAACAGAGAATTGGCACTGGATCTAAACGTAGTTTTAACCATGGTAGTGATTCTCAGCTGTGAGCTGTGGCACACTGATGTTCCACAAGAAGTTTTTAAATGTGTGATATCTGACTGTTTAGTCAGGAACACTGACCTCTTTTCCCTTGGATTAGGAAATAAAAAAATGACAACAGCCAACACAATAGCTGTCTGGTGTGAATGAATCAAAATCATACCAATTTTTTTGTCAGGTGGGCAAAAAATACAATGTTTTTGGTGTGCTGCAGCCTTTTATTAATTTGTGTATGAGTGCCATGAGGTAAAACAGGTTGAAAGTCACTGAACCTTGGCCTTGTCAGACTTCTGGAACAGACCCCTCGAAGGCAGGGCAAAGGTGATGATTTCGGTAGGCATGTAAGTCTCTGTGTAGGAAGTTTCCACTAGGGGTTTCTATGGAGCTTCCACTAAGTGGGCGTGACTTGCTTCACTAAATCATTGGCTGTTGGTGATTGAACTCAATCTCCAGCTCCTGTCCCCTCCCCAGAGGTGGCGTGGGGTAGGGGTAGAGCTGAAAGATCTAACCCTCTAATCTCTGGTAGGTTTTTCTAGAAACTAGCCCCCAGCCTGAAGTAACCTAGTCACCAGGAGCCATTCATTAGCATATAAAAACAGTGATTCTAAGGGTTTCCCTTGGCTTGTTTCCTCACCTCCTCATCTTCCCATTGTCTTCTGGGTGGGCCCGCCCCAGCACCCCGCTTAAGACAGAGCCAGCCCCCCTGCACTCAACCACCTCCCTGAGTCTAGCGTGCGTTCTAACACTGTCTCCTACATGCCAGGCCTACAGTTTATGTTCCCCTCTGCCCCTCCGGGAGGAAGGCAAGCCCCCGAAGGCAGGCATCTTGGTTCTCTGGTGTTCCCAGGCACGTTGCCCTGCTCCTAGGCGGTGCTCAGTGGCCATCTGAGAATGAACTGACAGCTGGCTTGCTATCCACTGCCGCTGAGAACCAGGACCGGGGTCCTCCTTGTTCCCCTGCTGCTGGTTCCGCCCCTGGGGCACAGTGGGTGCTGGGCACTGCTCCTCTGACCCGCTTCCCTCCTTATTTCTAGACCGGCCTTATTGTCGCCTGCTACCACGGCTTTGTGGATACTGTGGTGGTCTTAGCAGAGTGTCCCCACATTGACGTCAACTGGCAGGACAGCGAGGGGAACACGGCCCTAATCACAGCTGCGCAGGCAGGTAAGACCCGGCTTTTCCTCCCTCGAGTGCAGGCCAGAGAGCAGCTGCCAGGGTGTGTGGGAGAGCTACACATGGCCGCAGCTCGGGACACGAATGTAAGGACAGAGATCGAGCAGAAATCCTTCTCTACTGCCAAGAGGTACAAGAAAAGGGCGATGAGCAAGTGTGCACGTTTTCTGTATTTGGGACAGTGCCCACCTGTGCAGAACTCAGTATCGGGCAGATCTAACCCCGAAACTCCCCAAAGCTTTGAGGATGAAGCTGCTCCAGAAGTCTAATCTGCGGGGGACCCTTCCCAGTCTCCCCCCAGACATGTCCCAGTGCTTCGTAGCAGCTCCTTCCTGCACAAACCGTTCCCCGGGGGACCCTTCCCAGAAGTCTAAGCTGGTGGTCACTTCACCTAGAGCATCGCACCCCACCCCATCAGAGCGCGGGATCAGGAAGATGCTGGTGAGCTGTCAGAAGAGACATAATCGTGTGTTAGTGATAGTTAACGTATACAATTAGACATGTTTACAAGGTCACCTTGCACTTAGCCTGCAGATGTAAAGGAGAGCCAGGAGCTACTTGCTGGGCATGTGTCAGTATAACAAGTACCACTGATTGTGAGATTCCCGGGGGAATGTGCGTCTCAGTGTCCTTCCGCCCAGGTGTCAGCTCTGGAGGCTACTTATGCAGACCTTGCCAGTGCGCTGTGGCTCTGCTCCTCCAGAACCGTGTTCAGACATTTCTGAGGCAAACATGACAGCTATGCTTGTCCTTCAGGGTCACGCTTCATTTGTAACTGCTGCCTTGTCCGATTTTGTAACTGACCACTTTCAAAATTCTTGGCTTCCAAGGTGACATTCGTTGTATCACACGGGTTCTCAGTTGCAAAGAAGCTGCTTCTGGCTGAGCTGGAAAGAACAAGTGTGAGCACCTCATGGTGTAGGGAGTTGTTAGGAATCTGACTCAGTGAGGGCCGAGAAGCTGGAGAAAATGTCCCAAACCAACACTGCACGTTGATTGTGGAACGTAAATATCTGCTGCCCCCAAAGAGAGACCTGCCTGTCCCATCTTGCATCACCAGCTCCTGTGCCAAAGCCAGGGGGGTGACTGAGCAGGAACCAGGGGGTCGGGAAAGCCAGCGTCTGGCAGTGTCACTCCCCGTACCAGGAAGCAGCCTGTGCACGCTGCTTTGCAATCAGTATGCGGACGGTGGAGAAGGTCCCAACTTAGAGAGGGGTCAGGGCTGTGCTGTTCACGTCATCAGGTTTCGGGCGTGAGGCGCTCACCACCACAGAGGCAGAGCTGGCCAGGCTTCGAAAGCCCAGATGCACAACTTCCTGAGCTTCAGAAGTGTAAATGGATATGGTGACACATGCAGTGACCATGGGCTCATCATTCAGTACCTCCCACTGGCCAGGAACTGGGTCAGGGGCCAGGGGTGGGGGAGTGAAGGGAAGTTCTGCCCTTGAGTAATTCTCCAGTTAAATAGCCACCTGAAGGAGCTCTGATGGGAGGTGCCCTGGGTGCCGAGGGGTGAGCACACTCCATCTAGCCTGGTGGTTAAGGACAAGGGTTGTGGAAGAGGGGGGCTGGAGCTGGGTGGTGAAGAAGACAGAGGCAGGCCGGTCCAGCCAGTGCATCCCAAAGCCACAGGGCCAAGGGGGAGCTCAGTGCATCCTGGGAATGGCGTAGGTTAGTGTGGCTGTAGGGTTGCTTGTGTCTAGGACAGATGAGAAGTTGCCCCATGAGGAGGCAGGGACCAGGTCATTAGGGGGTAGATAACATGTGAGGAATGTATTTGAGTGGCATGAGGCTGGGTGTGTGGTGACAGGGGCCAGATGATCCTGGTGGACCCAGAGGCAGTTTCAGAAGCAGAGAAGGAGCCAGAGCGGTGAGGCAGAAAACTCAGGTCTTGGTGGCTGTGATGTGGGCAGTGGAGGAAGGTGGGGTCTGAGAAGTTTTCAGCCTTCTGTACAGGGGATGATGCTGACGGTAGAGGGGTGTAGCAAGAGAATGGGCTCCATTTGTGCTCAGGCCTTGGAAATGCTGAGGCAGTGAAGTGAGAGGTCTTAATGGATGTTGGGTGGGGAGTGTGGAGCATTTCAGAGTTCGCAGGAGACACTAATGCTCCTGGTCTGAGGACCCCTCTTTAGAGGTTCTCATTTTACACAGTGGCTGGGGGAGCTTCTCAGTGGATATTAAAACCGGAGGAGTCGCAGACCCTCTTGGCATGTCAGAGGGACACAGAGCCATCGTTAAATCAAAGTGAATAGCCCTGGCCAGTGTGGCTCAGTTGGTTGGGCGTCATCCCATGCACCAAAAGGTTGTTGGTTCAATTCCCTGTCAGGACACATGCCTAGGTTGTGGGTCTGATCCCCAGTTGGGGGTGTGCTGTTTTGCTCTCAAGTCTGTTAGTGAAGGGGGACAGAATTACGGGGCAAGACCCTGGACAGAATTACCCTGGTAGGTGACTGCCTCGCAGGCGATGGAACCTGACATCTGAGTGAGCAGGCGTCTGGCTGGAAGTTGGTGGGGAGGCTGGGGAAGTACACCTCTCTATTCCCTCTACCGGATTCCTTTGCTGAGCCACACGGAGACTTTAGGGCTAAGGCACAGGGCAGGATTTGGAGGTCATCCTTCCTACAGAAGCAGGACAGAGAAGAAAGAAGTATTGGATACAGTCTTAGGATTCATCATAGGGCATGCACATTTTAAATGTGCCCATTTACGTGCCTGCTACCAACTGGCCTTTAGAAAAAGCTGTACCAATTCATACTTTCCACCGAGTTCCCAAAGGTGTTCTTGCCGACTGCAGACATGATCACTTTTCAGTGTTTGCTGATCCCAAACAGACTTTCTTATTGTTTGCCTGATTCTCATCAGAGCCCAGGATCTGCTATGATGTTTGGGGTATAATTAACTGAGTACTCATTGAAACGGCTTCAACAATGAGGAAATTGCCTTCTCTTGCAACATGACATGCCTGAAGGCAACAGTTGGAGGGAAGCTTCATTGGGTGGCTCTGTGATGGCAGGACCTGGGGCCAGCTTCTCAGAAATGCTCTTGACCTTTCCCTCATGATCCCAAGAAGACCCTGGCAGCTCCAAGAACCATGGCTTCTCATTGCCACACACAAAAGCCTCAAAAAGGAGGAGCAAATCCCTGTTCTGTTTTGTTCTCTAAGATGGAAAAACATCTCCAGAAGCCTCCAGCAGAGTTTCGTTTACATCTCCGGGCCAGGTCACATGGCCCAAGCCAGACAAGTGCCTGGCAGAGGAGGTGGCATGACCTCAACTGACTTGGTCTAGTCAACACTGGCCCCAGCAGAATCTCTCTGGTTAAGGAAAACTTTAAAGCAACCACATGTTAATATTATTTGCTGTTGCAACTGTGCTGGATGTCTGAGAGTTGGCAGTCCTGACTTTCTGCAGGACTCACTCGGCTTCTGTGCGATTAAATTAAGATGCAAACACTGTGATCTAGCCTTGGGGTGTTTACAAAGTCTAACCTCCTTGGCTACTTAATGCACAAAAAAACCACAGCCAAATCTGTTTTAGGCCTTACAGTGGAGAGGGGACTGTATGACAGTAAATCCTGAAATAATCCCTAAATCTCATTTAGTTAGTAATTTCGATTTCTACCATGCCCCTCCTAACAAAAATAAAATACAAAATAAGATAACCAAAGAAGTGAATTTTAAGTCCCAGGATGGAGCTATGTGTTTCCTGTTCCTCTTTAACAGATGGCAGGCGTACGCTGCAGGGAGAGAGCAGAGGGCTCCTTCTGAGCTGGGGCGATATGTCAGTCGGGTATAAGCAATCTTTGGTGCATCCTTGAAACTTGTTATTTCTTGAACTTATTTAAAAAATTCTAAAGGAAAGGCACCGAAAGCCGGCCACCTGGCATTATTCGCTCCTGCTGCTGGGGACCCAGTGGCAGTGGGGATCCCAGGGGTGGCCCGGGGTGAGCTCAGACTGCCTGTTTGCGGCCTGGCTCTGATCTGGACTTGGGAAGGGTTTCACTTCAGAGGGGAATTTATGACATGGCCGGAAGCCAGGAATAAATGCTTCTTTATTCCATTTGTCTTAATTTTCTTTTTATCACTACCCACGATCATAATTTGTCTGACTTCGTTGTGATTTCTTGAAATGTTTTTCTTTTTCTTGGTTTCTATTCTTTCACTTAAGAATTAGAACTTGGTAAGTCTCTGGACTTTCCTAGCATTTCCTTGCCTTTTCCTGTTTTTGGAGCCTTTCTGACTGACCACTGCAGTGCCGCCCCCTGCCGGCTGGCCAGACAGGAGTGAGCCTGAACCAATGCCACAGTCCACCCTGCTCCTCAGACCCCTGCTCCCCATCTGTATTTTCCTCTTCAGGAGGGGGCCAGTCTATTTTTCCTGAAGGGCCTGTGGGATGTGATATTTCCAAAGTCAACACTTCCCTCTACTGGCCTGGCTTGGAAAACTACATTTTGAGTACTTGGTGTCAAACCGATCGAGTTTTTAGACAACCTGAATTCTGTAGCATTTTTCCATTTTTAGAGCAGTATGGGTTTATTGTCTATTTTCTTTCTTTGAATAAAGGAGTAAACAAAATTCTTAGCCTATTTTTGGTACTCAATAAAATGTTTTATTAATTGATAATTGTAAGGAATCGGGGGCGCCGCCGAATAAAACAGAGAAGAGACTGGAGAGCCAATCAGCCGAATAAACAGGGATCAGGCTTTATTGGGTGCACTCCGGGCGGGTTCACAGACTCCGGGGGTCGAGTCCTAGAAGCCGCACTCAATGTAGGGGCTTGTGTCTTTTATATCTGCCTGTTGCAGCTGGAATTTGTCTCTTAGAGTTTGGCCCTGCGGGGGCTATGCATGGAGCCTATGGAATATGAATCGATAAGATGGGAGTTAATCTATAGCCTCGAGGCATAGAGGCCGTTCAGGGTGGGAGACAAGGCTGAGCAAGGAGACAATGGTCGAGCACTTTGCCTGGTGCCAGTTCCCCAGGCCATCGGACA